GGCAAAGTTGGTGTAACGACCCGACCGGTCGTTTCATGAGTTACAGCCCTGCTTTCCCCATTTCTGCTTCTTTATATGTTGTTCAGCTATATTTCATCGTATTTTGTTGCTTTTTTTATGTTCGGAGTGGACTTGGAGTGGAATGAGACACTTAGTCTCTTATTCGGAAGCTTAAGTTGGAAAAGTCAAACGGATGTTGACTTATGTGTAGAAGGTCTCGGATGTAAATTCTGATGGTTCGAATGGCTTCGTTAGTTGATTTTGGACTTAGGAACGTGTTCATAATGTAATTTAGAGGTCCGTGGTAGATTTAGGCTTGAATTGGAGAAATTGCAAATTTTGGCGTTTTCTGGTTGGCAGTGGAAATCTTGATATCGGGGTCAGGATGGAGTTTCCGGAAATTTGGAGTAGGTTCGTTGTGTCATTTGTGATGTGTGTGCAAAATTTCAGGTCATTCGGGTGATGTTTGATCGGTGTTGGCATCGTTTGCGGAATTCGGAAGTTTGGAAATCCATAGGCTTGAATCCGAGGGTGAATTAGTGTTTTGACGTTGTTTTGAGTGTTTCGAAGGTTGGAATAAGTTTGAATGGTGATATGTGACTTGTTCGTATGTTTGGTTGAGATCTCGAGGGCCTCGGGTTGATTTCGGGAGGTTGACGGATCAAGGATGGGATTTGAGGAAGTGCTGAAGAATTCCTTCAGCTGTCATAACCGCACCTGCGGAGTGGGCACCGCAGGTGCGAGGTTCGCAGAAGCGGGGGAGCAGCCGCAGATGCGGCCATAGGTGAGAAGGCCAGGAGCCGCAGGTGCGGAAGGAGGAACGCACCTGCTGAAAGTACAAGAGGGGGGTGAATTGTTTATTTTTAAACTTAATAGCTATCAGTTGACTAGTTTTACAATTAGTCGACTAGATATAAGAGCTTGATACTAGTAAGGACAGAATTTAAGATGCAGAAATTAAATGCAGGAATTAAAGACACCAGAGTTTTTATACTAGTTGGGATTCAATGTGAATCCTAGTCCAGTCCCCTTGGGTTGCAGGGAGTTCTCTTTTAGTGAATGAGTTTCTTCGAGTACACAGAGAATGGTGTGATCTAAACCAATAGCTTAGTTCCTATATCACTCGTTTCTTTTGATACAATGCCTCACCAGTGTTGTTCTCTCTTTCTTCTCTAACTTGTTACACAGCAGATCTAGTAGAACTACAATGTTTGTTTGCAGTAGAATAAAGAGAGGGTATTTGGTTCGATCAAAGTATATCCCTCTAGGGTACAGATATAAGTTTAAATACTTTGAGAGAGGCTTGGTTTCTAGAGTGATGTTTTAAGCGTCAATACTACACAAAAGGGGGGGGGGGTGATTTGTGTGGTACCCAATTTTCGCTTAACTGAACTATAGAAAAATCGGGCTCTTCTACGTGCTCCAACTACTACTGTTTGCGGAATGATAAATACTGAAAATAAAGAACACAGAGATTTTTACGTGGAAAACACATGGCTCAAAAGGTAAAAAAACCACGACCTACTACTCAGTAGGATTTTCCCAAACTTCCACTAAAATCAGTGAGCCAAAACAGCATTTACAAAAACTCTTTGTAAACCTAAGGATTAACTCTAATCCCATTGTAGCAACCAACCTCCAACTGTTTCGACAACTTCAAGTTAACTCTAACTTGAATACTCAAAGTACCTATTACAATTGCTTCCAGGTAAAGCTGAAAGGTATAATATGAAAACACCTACTACAATTGAACTAGAAATAAAGAAAGACACATAAAACTCTTTATGGAGCTGGTTCTTCAATCTGGTTCATGTAGCTTCAGGTTTGCACACTTGAATCACACACGAACTGCTTGCAAAAAGCCTTGCTATTTTGCTCTCAATTCATGTTTAACTTCTGCGTTTTTGTGCAACACATGTAATGTGAAAGCATCCTGCAATTTATAGAGTTAGTAGATGAAGAAATAACTAGAGTTCTGATGCAACTCTTCCTTGGTGGAAGAGTTCTAGTTGATTTCAACTTCTAACTCCTTCCCTATCTTAGATAGTGTTCTCTTTGATTAAGGAGTCCTTCTCCTTATCAATTATGCAACCTTTTCGATCAGGAGATATTAAATACACCAAGTTAAGCTTATCTCCTTCACGTGCATCCCACATGCTTGAATCTGCTCTTTTTTGTGCACCTGAGGGATGGACCTGGTTCATGTCTGAGTTCCTTTATCAGTCTTCAAAACTAACCTTTACTTGGGCCAACAAATTCCCCTTTTTGATGATGACAAACTCTGTGCTTTTCATACACTTAGGCCCTGCCAGAACTCAGCTCAACATCAACACAATGTTAGAAACATTTTTCCTTTGTATCACTTATCATCAAGGACCAGGTACATTAGGTTATAAACATCACTGTTCAAAGAGTAAACATCACTTGTTTAAAGCACAACCTTTTTCCCCCTTTTGGCATCATCGAAAAGTTGCATAGAAATGTGAGATAACCAGATTTTAAAACTTACTCATGGCCACTGGGGCTACTTCAAATGCAATCATGAATTAATCATCATAGATCAAGCTAAGAATTTTAACCATCAAAGAAATATAAACAAACAGTTAGAGCAAAAGGCAGTGAATTTCATTGATGATTGATAAGATTCTACCACAGAGCATAAGAAGAAATAAAAATATTGAAAACATGAGCAAAAGAAACAAAAAGTCCTGAATTGGGTCACTGGTTGATCTACACTAGGCTACGATTTAAGGCTTGGAAGAGGTAGGGGCTAAATTATTTGCTTGGAGAAGTTTCAGCATGTCTTGAAGAGTTTCATCATCCTTCTCCTTTTCCCTTTCAGTTCTGAGAATATCTCTCTCAGATTCTACCTCAACCAATCGTGTCTTCAGCCTTGCTATCTCAACATCCTTTGCCTTACTCTCCTGTAATAGAGCTCTGACCTTGCTATTGATAGGTGTCCTTTTAGATGAACCAGGTTCATTAGGAATGACATTGACTTCATAATCGCAAGCAAGCAGAGTATTAACCCCAAAATGATCCTTGCTTGTACTAACCTCCCACTTCTTCATAGGTACCTTAAAATGTGCAAGCACAATTGTGAGAATGAAACCATAGGGAATGGCAAGAGTTTTGGTGCCATTGATAACCCTATCAGTAGGTCCGCGAGGGTTTCCTGTTCAGATGGAACAGGTTCATCTATATTTTTCCCAAGTTGAACCAACCCCTCAGCAGCTTCGCCAGACCCACTTCCCCCTGTTTTGCTCATACTCTCTTCTATTTCAGTAAATTCCTCTCCCCAAATAACCATTGCACCAGTTTCTTTTATTAGACCAACAGGAGTGGGTGAAGAATCAACCACTCTTGTACCCTTTCCCCTCACAGTACTCCTAGCACCCTTGCTCTCTTTTTTTGTTTCCCTTTTTATTTTTACCACCAACTTCTCCAGATTCTTTAGTCTCAACACCTGCTATAGATCCTACCAGCACAAATCTATTCTCCAAATTTGCAGCAACTTCAGAAATTGTCTCAAGAGTAACTTTAGAATCAGAAGATACCTGTTCAGTTTCGGAAGACCTACTTTCTTCCCCCTTAGTAGCAGACTTAAACGAATCTTCAGATTTCTTGGATTCTTCTTCCCTACCTGCTTTCAATTGCTTGTTTATTTTCTTGATTCGCTCTCCTTCAGCGACAATCTTACGAGCCATCATCTTTACTCTTAAAGATTGGTGTTGTAGAAGGTATGGAAGTGGTTTCCTGTGGTGGTGATGAAGGATTTTCAGAGGTGTTTGACATATCTGGGCTAGGGTATGGAAGAGAAGAGAATTAGATTGTGTTTGAAAGATGAAAGAAGAATGAGAATTTTTGACGGCTTGAGAGAGATGAAGTAAGGAATACAGTAAAGCTGATCAATATATAGGTAGGGATGGCAAATGGTGCGGGGCGGTGCAGTTGCGGGGCAAACCCGCGCACACCCGCGAAGACTCCAACCCGCCCCGCCCCGCCCCGCAAAACAAAATTTGCTGTTTTTAACCGCCCCGCCCCGCCCCGCGCAAACTCGCCCCGCATATTTTTTTTTTTTAAATTTTTTAATTTGGAAAGCATATTTGTCTGCACATATAAACCAATTTTACGGAAGAGTCGTCTCAATGCATTTCACTGACCACAGATAAAACTCAGGATTTTTATGTATAAACGGGCATTGTACAAAAATTTGACAGTATGAATGTAATTTAACATACAGCTTGCTTAATTTATTTTAAGATAATTATTTTCATTTATTATGAAAAGTTATCAACAGTTAAGTATTTTTTGGATAATCTGACAATATAATAATCCCTTTAGATTGTCACTTTATAAAAGGTTAACTCCAAAATTTACTATCAGTGAACTCTTTTGAAGCCATTTTATTCAACGCTGATCCTCTAAGAATTTATTTATTCTCCTAAGAAATTAACAATAAGATGAAATTTGAATTAGTATTGCTAAACACTCATATCATAGTACGAAAACTTTTGTCATATAACAATTTCAATTTGCTTGGGATTGTAGCGTTGCAATTATAATATAAGCCTTCCAGTTATGAGACAGTAGAATTCCAGTTACAAATAAGAGCAGAGTATTAAGATATGAGATATCTATTAGTCTATTACAAAATGTGAAAACTCCAAAATAGTTGAACCAAAGTTAGGATCATGAATCACAATCTTAGACTACTTAGTATAGACAACTGCTTTTTGAACACCAAGAGAAACCAGCTTCAATCTTCCATTTTTCCTTGTTTTTATCAGAAATAATGCTTCTCCAACAGTCCAACCTCCTTCAGTTATCAAACAACTGAAATATCTAGATCTTCTTCTTCGTCAAGCATCGTCGGACATGAAACTCTATCAATGCTTGCACTCGAACCTAAAAAAAGTATAATAGTATAAGAAAGTGAATACTATTATTAACATAGTAAGTCATTAAAAAAGTTACTTACCATTTATCTCGTTCCATAACTAAGTTCGAGCACACATCAAAGCCTCCAAAGTAGTAGGATGAAGTCTACTACGATGCGGGCTAATCAATCTCCCACTAGTGCTAAAGGCCGATTCTGAAGCAACAGTAGAGACAGGAATGGCTAAGAGGTCACGAGCTATCTTTTGCAAAGTAGGAAATTTTAATCCGTTTGTCTTCCACCAGCTTAAACTGTCAAATGATGGCGTACGAGGTAGCACACCTTCTTCTAAATATGACTCCAACTCCGATCTTGGGTCCACATTTGCGCTACTCGAAGCAACAAACCTATCAAAACTAGACAGTCGATCACCCTCAACAACACTAGCAACTTTATTAGAACTAGATGCTTGAAATGACTCATGTGAAGCAACCACTCTACTCGTATACTCTTGAAAGAGATCAAAACAATGGTTTCGAACTTCTTGAATTTTTTGTAAAGCTTCTTCACCATAAATTTGTGCAAGATAGAACTCAACCAACTTCATCTTATATCTCGGATCGAAGATAGTAGCTACCCCCATCAAAATATGCGTATCATCCCAATATTTCTTAAATTTCAACAACATTGATGATGCCATAGAGCAAATCAAAGAATTTAAACTTTTCACCGAAGCTTCCAGTTCTAGCTTAATATCACAAACTTTTGAAAAGTATTGAGTTGAAGTTGGATATTGACTCCCTGAGAATTGTTCAGTGATACGGTGAAACAACTTCAACGTTTCACAAACTTCATGTGCTGCACTCCATTGCCCTTCGGTTGGAAAACAACGATAATTGATGTCAGTTAAACTCAACTTCGTAAACACCTCTTTGTAATCTAGGGTTGTTCTCAACATAAGATATGTTGAGTTCCAACGAGTAGGGCAATCATACTCCAACTTTTTAGTACAGGAAATATGTAGCAACTCTGCAGCTTCTTCGAACCTTTCAATTCTGCCTGAAGATGATATCCAATATAAGACACTGCTATGCACATTACTAATACCATCTTCTATCACCTTTAGTCCTTCTTGCACAATCAAATTTAAGATGTGTGCGGCACAACGCACATGCAACATTCGACCCATCAACAATAAATCCCTCTTACAAAGTGTAACACCCCGTACATTCGGACTAGGTATGGATATGTTAAATGGGTATTAATTTGATATTTTAGACATATGAAGTCCTAGCGGGGTGATTGTGGGTGAAAATAGTTGTTTCACAATCAAGATGGAAAGTGAGGTGCATAAGATTTGACAAAATCGACTAAGTTTGCAGAAGGTCTGTATTTCATCAGTGTTTAGTGAAATTGTGTAAGGAATTTGAGAAAACTTAAAGGATTAAAGCTGTAGGCCATTGAAATATCATTCCAACGATATATTATGGAGCCTGAACGGATCTTTGTGCAAAAAGTTATATGCGTTTTTCGGAACAGTACGCGTATGCGCGAACACTCGCGCGAACAAGCCTTCAGGTGCGCAAACTCGCGCGTGGGAGGCAGTGTTACTGCCGTTGAGCGCAAACTCTCGCGCGAACAGGCCTCCAGGTGCGCGAACTCGCGCGTGGGGGGTCGTTTTAAAGCTATATTTCGTCCCCCACAGACCCAAAACATAAAAACTTGCTCTAGAAAGGGGAACTCTCAAAAACCTAACTCCTTAAGGGTCCTTCCACCATCCAAGGTAAGTTCTAATGGTGATTTTAAGTTAATTTTAATTTCACAACATCTTATTATCATGGGTAAACCCTCCAAATTATTAGATATTCGATTGGGACACCATTGTTGAGAGAAGAAACCCTAGAACTCGAATTCAAGAAGATTGAACGTCAAAAAGGTAATATCTTCACCCTCTAATTAATTCTAATATTGGTTTAATGATTATAAACCCTAGTTCATGAGATATGAGTTGATGGGTTTGATAGAAAAGCATGAAAAATTATAGGATTGGGTTGTTGATTGTTGATTAAAGATATCGTTTATCTTATGGGTGATAAAGAAGGGTATTGAACATAGCAATTTGATGCTTTAGAATTTATCTAGGAACAAGAGAATGGGTCATTGGGTGTAGAGACACCATTAATAAGGACTATGAAGCTTTATTTTCACCAAGTGTTTGATAAGATGCTTAAGTGACCAAAACATGAGAATCATTGCTAATATGGAATCCCTTTGACTTGTATTGATTTAGATTAAAGTTGAAAGGGGTTGACAAACGTTGTATTATGCTCAAGAGCAGGAAGTTAAGGTATGTGAGGCTAACTTTCTATGTTTGGGAATGTTAATGATTCTCCCTACACTACGTTTCTTATACAACGTATCAATTGCCTCAGAAATACAGTTAAGCCTAGTTCCTTGAATAGTTTTTGAACTTCTATTCCCTAGCTTCATAACTCGTTCATGACTTTCATTCTGAATGTTGTGAGCTCAGTGCTTATTCAATATAGACTTGGGTTTGATGCCCCCGAGTCTTAGTATAGATTGCTCAGTATGCCATAAACAGTTGAAGTTTCAATGTTCATAATCAGTTCAAGAATACATGTCTCATTCTAGTCCCATTCAGTATTCCAGTATTATGTAACTCAATGTGATGTGATCCAGTATTCCAATATTATGTAACTCAGTGTGATCCAATATTCCAGTATTATGTAACTCAGTGTGATCCAGTATTCCAGTATCATGTAACTCAGTGTGATTCAGTATTTCATTATCATGTACGGCAGTTTGATTCTCAATTCCTGAATGTTGAACACCTGTACTTGGGCCTAAGGCCGTAGTTTATGCTTTATGCATGTTTGGGCCTGAGGCCGTAGTTTATGCTTTATGCATGTTTGGGCCTGAGGCCGTAGTTTATACTNTGAACATAGCAATTTGATGCTTTAGAATTTATCTAGGAACAAGAGAATGGGTCATTGGGTGTAGAGACACCATTAATAAGGACTATGAAGCTTTATTTTCACCAAGTGTTTGATAAGATGCTTAAGTGACCAAAACATGAGAATCATTGCTAATATGGAATCCCTTTGACTTGTATTGATTTAGATTAAAGTTGAAAGGGGTTGACAAACGTTGTATTATGCTCAAGAGCAGGAAGTTAAGGTATGTGAGGCTAACTTTCTATGTTTGGGAATTTTAATGATTCTCCCTACACTACGTTTCTTATACAACGTATCAATTGCCTCAGAAATACAGTTAAGCCTAGTTCCTTGAATAGTTTTTGAACTTCTATTCCCTAGCTTTATAACTCGTTCATGAATTTCATTCTGAATGTTGTGAGCTCAGTTTGTATTCAATATAGACTTGGGTTTGATTCCCCGAAGTCTCAGTATAGCTTACTCAGCATGTCATAAACAGTTGTAATTTCAGTATTCATAACCAGTTCAAGAATACATGTCTCATTCCAGTCCAATTCAGTATTCCAGTATTATGTAACTCAATATGATTCAGTATTCCAGTATAATGTAACTCAGTGTGATCCAGTATTCCAGTATCATATAACTCAGCGTGATTCAGTATTTCACTATTATGTATTGCAGTATGATTCTCAGTTCCTGATTTTAATTCCCTGAATGTTGAACACCTATCTTTGGGCCTGAGGCCGCAGCTAATGCTTTATGCATCTTTGGGCCTGAGGCCGCAGCTAATGCTTTATGCATCTTTGGGCCTGAGGCCGCAGCTAATGCTTTATGCATCTTTGGGCCTGAGGTTTATGCTTTATGCATTTTGGACCTGAGGTCGCAGTTATGTATACGTATTCTTGGGCCCGAGGCCGCAGCTTGTGCACATATATATATATATATATTGGGCTTGAGGCCGCAGTTTAATATTCAGATAAGCAGGTTGTTCATCATTCAGAAGAGGGAGTATTCATATCCTTACTTCCTTTATTCAGTTCAGTTATCAGTTATCCTTTCAGTTATCATTTCAGTTATCAGTTATGAGTTATTAGTTTAGTTATCAGTTATCAGTTATCTTTTCAGTTATCTGTTCAGTTACCAGTTCTCACTTCAGTTTCAGTTTCAATAGTTATCTTTTCAGTTATCAGCTTAGTTTCAGTTTCAGCATTTATAATTCTTTCTTTCAGTTGCTTTACATACCAGTACAATTCAAATGTACTGACGTCCCTTTTTGCCCGGGGCCTGCATCTCACAATCCAGGTAATGATTAACAGGTTGATGATTCAGAGTGCTAGGATTCTCGTACCAGCTAATTTGGTGATCCCAGTTCTTTCGGGGCATTATCATTACATTACAATTTTCAGTACTTAAAGGCAGTCAGTATTTTCAGTATATTATTAGAGGCTTCATAGACTAGAGTAACAGTTAGAAAGAGTCACAGACTTTTCATATTAAGCCATGTTGGCTACAAATATGTTTCAGAATTGTATTAGTATTTCTGCACTTTGATTTATATCATCCACAATTTTCAGTATATCAGCATGTGTTAGTTTATCTTCTGCATTCAGTATGTTATGATACCACATGTTGATTCAGCCAGCTAGTTGGCTCGCTCGGTCACATGTAGTCGGGCGCCGAGTGCCGTGTTACGTCCAGGCCCAGGTTCGGGGCGTGACAAAGCTTGGTATCAGAGCACCAGGTTCAAGAGTCCTAGGGAGTCTATGAAGCCGTGTCTAGTGGAGTTTCCTTTATATGTGTGTGCCGGCCACTCATATAAATGGTTAACTACCAAGACATTCAGGATTGTCTCACCTCTTTCTACTCTAGATCGTGCCATGAAACTTAGAGCAATAGGTAATCTTCTTTTCCTATTGAATTCCAAACGCATTGGATGCCCAAGCGACGCGCATGAGAAACCTAAGGTCCTAGAGAGGATAATTGCCCGTCGGGGTATAATTTTGGAGTACAACTTGGTAAATATGAGACTTGAGAGGATGTCAAAAGTGGGATGCAACGGATACTAGCACACATTAGAGAATAACCTTATCAGAAAGTACAAAAGTAGTTATGATGTTTTATGGTTATTAGTATACCTCAGTTACCAGTTATACAATCTTTCAGTTAGCAAGTTTATGGTTACGCCAGTATTCGGTTATATGTTTACCAGATCTCCAATTTTCAGTGTATCAAAATTTCTATAGACTTGTGAGTATACAGTGAGACATATGGATGCTCAGAGAGTATGTAAGTAACGGTGATTATAGCAAACTCTTCGCATGTTTTAGGGATTAAGACCCAAGACTCATTGGATGGTGCATAAAGTGATTTATCAGATATGTATGGCAGTGTATCTGTATGTCAGACCCCACGGTGTATCGTGTTAAGAATTCAACCGCAGCGGGCATAGGATTGATCACTATAGTTTTGGACAGAAAAGAGCCTAAGGGAAATGTAGCTAAGAATAATATGATGTACGAAATGAGAACCAAGAGCAGGCAACATTGAATTTTAGGGAATGATTTTATGTCGTTTAGATTTATTCAAATCAGAACTAGAAAGTACCATGTTAGTGAATTTATATACGAAGTGGCTATTATTGTGAGATAAAAGATATGACAGTTCCCCTTGATATGACTATGTGTTTAGGTAGGAGGTTTATAGTCTGAAGTGATTTTGAAGTGTATAGAAAGCTTGGGGTTAGATATTCCAATTTTGTTAAGACAAATGAACTTTCCCTAAGTGCGATTCATGTGCATGGTTCAAAAAGAATGATAGCGTGCGGCAAAAGAATATGATCGGATGGTGAGGGAAGTTAGGAGTAACCTTATGCACCACTATAGTTATTCAAAGCAGAGCAAGAAAATATGATGCTAGCAGGGGGTTAGTAAAAGAACAGTAAACAAGTTTGAGTAAATACAGTGAATTACCAATTTCAGCAGAGCTAGTAGAGGTAAAATTTGATTCACTTAGCCGGCTTAACTCTAGTGAGTGGATGATAGTTTGAAATACCGAACATGTGTTAGAACCCAAAGAGTTTAAGTTAAACCCGAAGTACAGTAACAATGGAAAAAAAATATAGCTAGTAGTAAAAGAGCAAGCAGTAGAAGAATAGCTTTTAGGAATTATTGAAATGTGGTTTCTCCAAGATTGACAGTGTGAGCACAGTTAGATTATTAAGATTGTGTATGATAGT